GTCTATCGGGACCTGCGGGCATGAAACGCAGCGTCCCCAGGCAAAAGGGACGTCAGTACGAATAATGTACCGAGTATGTAAGGCACATAAGTAAGTACATAAGAGACATGGAAGACATATAGAGTACATGACTCAACCTGTAAGTCTGAATAACTTTGTAAATCATAAATTACGTTTAGCGTCGTGCGTATGCGTATGAATGTCATGTCGTGTATAGGTACATGTTTCATAACATCATCAGCCTCTGAGGGCATCCCATCATAACATATTGGCCACTGTGGGCAAAATCATCATCGTATACCAGCTGATCAGGTGGTGGTGCGTATATAACGCCATAGCCTTTCCCATATCCCATATACATATATATACATACATATATACGCGTATATAACGCCGTTTAAATCATATTTACATATATATGCGTATATAATGCCGTTTGAATCATATTTCAGCCACTGTGGGCAACATCATCATCATATACCAGCTGATCAGGTGGTGGTGCGTATATAACGCCATAGCCTTTCCCATATCCCATATACATATATACATACATATATACGCGTATATAACGCCGTTTGAATCATATTTACATATATATATATATATATATATATATATATATATNCATGAATGCAATGCATGAAAAGTACGTTAATAAAATCTTCCGGAGCTTCATAAGACCATTTTGCCTTTGAGTAATATCATACGGTAAACTCTTTTGAACTTTCATATTTTTCCGAGACCCATGAACAGATGATAAAATATTATGTCACACGGAAATTCAAGAACATAGATATCTCTAATACTTCTATGAATAGATTCATTCATGGAATTTGTGCATTTGCACGTTTCGTTCGTATCGTATGGAACATGCCAAAAGAAAAAAGGGATAGCCTTAACATACCTGTTCCTAGAATTATTTGAACGAATTGCTTCTGCGGAATTTACACCGAATTTCCTTGAAATTGGAAGGAACTTGGCTTGGACGTTTGGATGAAGCCTGGAACGAATTTCTTGGAACCAAACATTCTGCTTCAAAGTTCTTGGTTTTAAAACCAAGAACAGATTTTGTTGGCCTCAAATGGAGACTCCTTAGCTTCTAATCCTTTTTAATTTAGAAAGAATTTCATGTTCCCTTTCTGAAATTGACCAACGTCACTTTTGAGTCTTTGGAGTTTTAAGACTTGAACAAGTATATTGCTTACGTTCCTTGGCGGAAACCCTCTATCAATAGCGTTAATATATCCTCCAAATTCTTAAAGATAATTCAGCTCGTACAAGCCAACGTCCAAATTGAAAATCATTCCAAGAGAACATCAACGAACGTCGGCCCAGAAGGAATAAGAATGCTATCCAATTTCTTTTGCCAATAACGTAATCACTTTCTTGGATGAAAGTCTTTTTCTATGATATTAATACACATTCCTTTGCTGGAGCCTTTTAAGAGATGTAGCAGATGACTCATTTTCCTTAAAATTTGCCAAGTATTGTTTACCTTTGCCACATAATGAAATGACTTGAAGAGTCATTCTTTTAATATGTGGCATGCTGCCACGATAATCTTTGGGATGGTTGATTAAATTTATCCACTTATTAGTTAACCGGGTAATATTTTGTTACCCGGTAATTAATCTATTACCCGCATAATTGAGAATTATTCCCACTTACTTAAAATACTACTCACTTTTCACATACCTTATACACCTTACTATCATGGTCATGTGGTACCTCGTATGACACTAGTCCATAAATACCGAGTATTTTAGCTTGGGCCGTATTTTATCCCAACATGCCAAACTTGGACGAAAATTCGTTTCCTTTGACTTGCTTCCCCTCTTACCTTCACAAATTTACTTATCACTTGTTTGAAATAGCATAATACTTAAAATCTCAAAATAATCCCATCCCCGAACTTACGTCGATTAACTTACGACGAAACTTTAACATACGAAAATGCGGGATGTAACACGATCACTCTGATCATACTTGGCTTAATCAAATTATTTAATTACTAATTTTAGAACCTATGTGCATTTGCCTTTTTAATTAAGAAATTATCTTGAAAAAGGTCACGCGTACGTGTACCTATTTGTTTGGCGCGTCAAAAGTATGTCACGCGAACGTGTCCACAATTAATAACGCTTTATTATTATTAAGAAAGTTTGACCAGCTTTGCGCGAACGCATATTCCGGTTTTGTTTTTATAATCGTAATTATGTCACGCGAACGTGTACATGATCACGATGATATATTAAACGGGCCTAAAGCAACTACGAGCATTTGTCATTGTTATATCTAAGTTATGAAATTAATACGAGGGCCATGTATGATTAAATTGTGGATGGAACACCTCAGACTATTATATTAAGTTCAATTTAGCGGCCTATTAAACAATTTTATTGTTAAGAAAGTTTGATCGAAGTTTCAAAATCCAACCTCAATTTGAGGTCTAAATTCAATTTTACAAAAACCTCTAATTCTACGAAAATCCCTAATTTTCTACCATGAAAGAGCGTAGAATAAGGTTAGAAATCAATGGGTGTCGATGGAAACGGAAGAAACGAGTTAAAGTATACTAACCTACAAAGTGGGGATGAAATTTTTCTTGAAAATCGCCTCTAGGCCGAGCTCTAATGTGAAGATGGTGAAAAATGAAGAAAATCCCGTCTTTGGGACATTTAAGTCACTGGGCGTCAGGCTTTCTTCTCGTTCGCGAAAGGCCTGACGCGATCTCGAAGTGCAGCGGCCCTAGTGGCCTTCGCGTTTGCGATATGTCCTACGCGTTCGGATGGCTCTTCCCCCTGGACTTCGTGTTCGCGACCCTTCGATCGCGTTTGCATAGAACATACAGTTGATCCCCTTCCAGGTTCATACCCATTGCGTTCGCGAAGAGTGATCCCACCACTGCTTCGCATTCGCCACCTCAACCTAGCGTTCGCATAGAGGAAATCCCACCCCAGCCCAGGCTACTCTTTTTGATCGCGGGGGTGGCTTCGCGATTGCGAATAATAAAGAACCAGACACCAGAATCCCTGAAACCAGTAATCCTCCTAAGTCCAAAATCGATCCGTAGCCTATGCGGAACTCACCCGAGCTCCTCGGTCTCCAAACCAAACATACACACAAGTGTAATAACATCGTACAAACTTGCTTGTGCGATCAAAACATCAAAAACAAAACCTAGAACTACGAATCAAACATCAAAATGAATAAAATTTTCAAAGAAACTAAAAAACATACAAATTTACAACCGGACGTTCGAATTATGTGAAATCAACTCCGTTTTGCACCAAATTTTGCAGACAAGTCTTAAATGGTGAAATTAACCCATTCCAAGTTCTGGAACTAAAATCTGAACCCGGTAGTAATAAAGTCAACCTACAGTCAAACTTGGGAATTCTTTAAGCCTTCAAATCATTAGTTTTCAACAAATCACGTTAATTCAAGTTAGGGACTTTTGAATTTGATTCCAGGCATATGCCTAAGTCTCAAATCACGATACGAACCCATCAGGACTGTTAAAATACTGATCCGAGTCTGTTTATATAAAATATTGATCGTAGTCAACTCAAATGAGTTTTAAGGCAAGTTTTTACATTTTCTTAAATTTTTCACATAAAAACTTTATGAACAAGACACAGACTATACACACAAATCGAGAAATACTAAATGGTACTAGTCGAGGTCTCGGAATATGAAATTAAAGGTTAAAACTCAAAGTGACTTATTTGGTCATCAAAATTATTTACTGGTGGCAAAGCCATACTGATTAAACATGTATTATCTGCTATATATTCCTATGAATCTCCTATCTGCCAAACCCCAAAGACTATACTCAGAACTCTTGAGAGATACTTTGAAAATTACTTCTGGGGGCAGCAGGAAGGTAATATGAAACATCACTGGTACCAAAATATGTTACCGTACTGAAGAGGGAGGAGTTGGTTTTAAAAGTTTATATGATATTTCCAGGTCCTTTATAGCTGCACTGTGGTGGCTATTCAGGACACAAAATTGTGGTTAACTTTTCTGAAGGCTAAATATTGTAGCAGATTACATCCAGTGGCCAAGAAAGGGAAAGCCAAGCAATCTAGACCTTAGAGGAGTTTAATGGATATAAAAAAAGATGTAGACCAAACATATTGGAGGATCCAAAAGGGTAACTCATCCTTCCTTTGGGATAACTGGACAGGTTTGGGATCTATATCAACTCTATGTAACTATAACATACTCCATAAAACTACGGTTGCTCATTTCATCTCTAACAACAATTGAGATATTGCTAAGTTATCCCAGTGCATCCCGGATCATCTAGTCAACCATATCAAAGGGATCAAAGCTGGTATCTCAGACAAACTTGACCAAGCAGTATAGATTGGAGCTACTAATGGAGAATTCACCTATTTCTCTGCCTGGAATGCTCTGAGACAAAGCAAGGTGTCACTTTTATTAACAAGAATCTGTGGCACAAGGCTATTCCTTTTTAAAATTTCATTCTTTAACTGGAAGAAATAGACTACCTACTGATGATAATATCGGGAATCTTAGTTTTTCGTATCCATCTAGGTGTGACTGTTGTGATATTCCTATGAGTGAGGATGTGAATCACATCTTTAGGAGTAGCAAACTCAGCAAGAATATATGGAATATCTTCAGAACCAGTTTGGAATTAAAAAATCTTGAGGGAAAATTAGACATGAGATGTTAACATGGTGGTTTGCTAATTATCAGAATCCAATTCATAAGCTTATACTACATGTTATTCCTCTTCTGATCAATTGGCATATTTGGAAGACTAGGTGCTGAAAAATCATAAACAAGAAAGAATTTACATTTCTAAGATAGCTCTCTTGATATGCCATGAAGCTACTATTATTATTCACAAACAGTTCAAAGAAGTCGATATAGACATCACTTGGAACCAAATGATTACTATTTGTGAAACAACAAAGCCAAAACTAAACATCACCATTGCTATCTAGAAACTTCCCCAGGCTGATATGATTAAACTCAATACTGATGGATGCTCCAAGGGAAATCCAGGAACCAGCGGTGGTGGGGGAGTTAGGGGACATCAAGGTGAGGTAATAACTGTTTTTACAGCACCTTTTGGTATCCAGAGTAATAATGCAGCAGAGTCTATGGCTTTATGTGCTGGTCTTGAATGGTGCATGGATCAAGGCATTAACAAGATATGTGTTGACTTAGATTCCTTGTTGGTGATTAACTGGGTTACAGAGAAAATGAAATGTCCTTGGAATTTAAGACACATCAAAGAGAAAATACAAACAATCATATCACAATTTGAGATTTTCCACACATTGCTATAGGGAGGCAAATAGAGTTGCTGATGCTCTAGCTAAAGAAGGATTAGAAAGGACCAATACTAAATGGATTTCTCTGCTGAAGAGCTTCCAAGTCAAGCTAGAGCCCAGTGGTACTTGTTAGATTAGTTAGTGTTTGATGGGAGTATTTGAGAAAAGGTTGTTTCGTCCCTCATTGAAAAACTAAAGAAAGGAAGAAATTGTTAAAAGCACTTCTTTGTCTCATATAGTTTGAATATTTTGAAAGATATTTTGGAGGGACCAAAATTTGACTTTATTATTAATAGTCAAGATTGGGCACTTGGTCCAATTGGGCCAATTAAGTAGCCCTGAATAATATTTTGTCACCTATTATTTTATTAATTAATTTAAAACATTTTTTAAATTAATTTCAGGAAAAATGTTTTTTAGCAGTTTCTTTTATAATTTCAAAATAGGTGACTATTGGTTTTAAAAGATGCATGTTTATGAAAAGATGAGTCTGTTAATTCCAACAGAATCCTAGGACTATTATAAATATCCATATCATCTCCAAAACAAAATACATCTTCAGATTTTCATCTCTTTATGTCACGACCCGGAATTCCCATCGTCGGGACCGTAATGACGCCTAACATTTCACTTGCTAGGCAAGCTAACATTAGAGATTATTAAGTCAATTCATAAACCTTTCAGTGATTAACAACAATTAAACCGTAACGAGTTTAAAAGGGGTACAGAAATCCATAACAAGCCTAATACTTATACACAACTACCCAGAATCTAGAGCCACGATTCAGGAACTTCTAAGATTTACTACAAGTAATTTGTCTGAAGGAAAATACAACTGTTTTCGATACAAATGAAACAGTAAAGAGAATGTATAGAAGGGGACGCCAGGGCCTACGGACGCCAACAGGACTACCTTGGGTCTCCGATCAGATGAAGCTAGCAGCTAAACTCCGGATCAGCCCGAACCGGTACCAAAATCTGCACAGGAAGTGCAGAGTGTAGTATCAGTACAACCGACCCCATGTACTAGTAAGTGTTGAGCCTAACCTCGGGGAATTAGTGACGAGGCTAAGACAAGACACCCACAAAACAAACCTGTGCAGTATAAAATATATATACCAATAACAGCAGTAAAGGAAACAAGACAAGGAATATTGGGAGGGGGACATACTGAGGGGATCACAAGATAAAGAATCAAAGCAGGGATAAGGACTTGATCTACCAATATGCCTTAAACAGATAGAAACAGGTAAACACGGTAAAGGAAACTACACGGCATCACCTTCGTGCTTTTACTCTCAACCTCACCATATGAAACAATAGAAACGACATGGCATCACCCTTCGTGCACTATCTCTCATAACATGGCATGGCATCACCCTTCATGCATTAACACTCACAATATGGTACGACATCACCCTTCGTGCATTATCACTCATAAAACATGGGAACGACATCACCCTTCGTGCATTAACACTCTCCCTCATTAAAACAATGAACAATGATAACAAGAAGATAGAAATGACAATAACAAGTCTCACTTCCACATTTGGTTCCACAATACCAACCTCAACTTTGAATCAATACTCAATCAATACCAAAATTCGTCAAATATACTATGAACGATCAACATAACGATAAACTAGTCTATGCATGGGTAATCTGATCACGAAAAACTACAATTTCATGAATAAGACTCACTCGCAAGCTATGACTCGACAACAACGCGTAGGTACTCGTCACCTCACCTATACGTTGTACTCAACATTCAAACACATAGCAAATAGGAAAATAAGACCTAATCCCTCAAGCCAAGGTTAACCACGACACTTACCTCGCTCCAACGGCCAAACTCAAAGCTCAACCACAGCTTTTCCCTTCACACAAGCCTCCGAACCAATCAAATCTAGCAAATTACCAACCAAACGATTCAATTTAAGCCTTAGGAACTACCCACAATTGCAAAGTATTATATTTAGGCCATTTTTGAAAAAGTCAACACCCGGCCCCACTTGGTCCAAACCCGAAATTCGGACCAAAACCCGATTACCCATTCACCCCCGAGCCCGGATATACAAATCCGACCTCAATTCGAGGTCTAAATACCCAAATTTTAAAATCCCTAGTTTCTACCCAAAAATCCCCAATTCCATCACGAAAACCTTAGATTTTAAGTTGAAAATCTTGTAAAATGAAGTGAAAGATCGAAAGAAACTAGTTTAGAATCACTCACCAAGGTTTTGGGAAAGAAATGGTCTTTGGATAATCGCCTCTTGTGTTTTAGGTTTTGAAAATTTGAAGAATGGGAGAAAAATCCCGTCTAAGTCACTTCTACACAGCTGCAGATGTTGTATTTGCGACCCGAGTTTCGCAAATGCGAAGCTTGCAAATGCGAAGGTTTGTTCACAAATGCGAACATCCCACTTCGTAATTGCGACAGAAATGACCGTATTTGCGATCATGCCCTCCCCAGACTCACTTCGCAAATGCGAAGCTTTCCTCGCAATTGCGAGAACTGCCTGGACCAGCCACTCTTCGCATTTGCGATGAGTAGCTCGCAAATGTGAAGCTGTCATGTTCGCAAATGCGAGATCAGAGGCCAACACCAGAACTAGAACATGAGCAACATCTCTAAGTCCAATTTTACTCGGTAGCCTATCCGAAACTCACCCGAGCCCTCGGGGTTCCAAACCAAACATGCACACAAGTCTTAAAACATCATACGAACTTGTTCACACAATCAAATCATCAAAATAACACCTAAAAATTTAGCACCAAATCAAACGAAATTCTCAAGAACACTTTAGTATTTCTATTTTCTCAACCGGACGTCCGAATCACGTCAAACCAACTCCGTTTCTCACCAAATTTCATAGACAATTCATAAATATGGTATTGGATCTATACCGGGTGTCTGGAACCAAAATACGGACCCGATATCCAAAAAGTCAAACCTTGGCCAAGCACTTCTACTATTTCATTTAGCCATAGATTTTCAAATTTCGACAAAGTACGATATCTCGGGCTAGGGACTTCCGATTTCTCTTTCGGGCATACTCCCAAGTCCTAAATCACGATACGGACCCGCCGAGACCATCAAAATACGAATCTGGGTCCGTTTACCAAAAAAGTTGACCGAAGTCAACCCAAATAAAGTTTTTAGGCAAAATTTCTTATTTTTAACAACTTTTAACATAGAAGCTTTTCGGAAATACGCCCGGGCTGCGCATGCAAGTCGAGGAGGGTAAAAATGAGATGTTCAAGGCTTAAAAGCACATAATTGAATTCTAAAACACAAGATGACCTTTCGGGTCATCACATTCTCCACCTCTAAAACAATCGTTCATCCTCGAACGAACATAGAAAAGTACCTGAGCTGGTGAAAAGGTGGGGATATCTACTCCGTATATTAGACTCGGACTCCCAGGTAGCTGCCTCAACGGGCTGACCTCTCAACTGCACTCGAACGGAAGGATAACTCTTCGATCTCAACTGACGAACCTGCCGGTCTTAAATAGCTACCGGCTCCTCCTCGTAGGTCAAATCCTTGTCCAGCTTGACAATGCTGAAGTCTAACATGTGGGTTGGATCGCCATGATGCTTCGAAGCAAGGACACATGGAACACTGGATGAACTGCTGACGAACTAGGTGGCAATACGAGCTTGTAGGCCACCTCCCCCACTCGCTCAAGAATCTCAAAAGGCCCGATATACCTAGGGCTCAACTTGCCCTTCTTTCCAAACCTCATTACACCCTTCATGGGTGACACACAGAGCAACACTCTCTCTCCGCCATGAATGCAACATCACAAACCTTACGGTCGGCATAACTCTTTTGCCTGGACTGAGCTGTGTGAAGACTATCCTGAATGATCTTAACCTTATCCAAGGCAACCTGTACCAAATCTGTACCCAATAACTGAGCCTCCCCTGGCTCGAACCATCCGACCGGCGATCGACACCGTCTACCATATAATGCCTCATAGGGAGCCATCTGGATGCTTGACTGATAACTGTTGTTATAGGCAAACTCCGCAAGTGGCAAGAACTGATCCCAAGAGCCTCTGAAGTCAATAACATAAGCGCGGAGCATATCCTCCAATATATGAATAGTGCGCTCGGATTGTCCGTCCGTCTGAGGGTGAAATGCTGTGCTCAGCTCAACCTGCATGCCCAAATCACACTGTACTGCCCTCCAAAAATGCAAGGTGAACTGGGTATCTCGATCAGAAATGATAGACACGGGCACACCGTGAAGACGAACGATCTCGCGGATGTAAATCTCTGCCAACCACTCTGAAGAATAGGTAACTTCCGCAGGAATGAAATGCGCTGGCTTGGTCAGCCTGTCCACAATGACCCAAACTGCATCGAACGTCTTCTGAGTCTGTGGGAGTCCAACAACGAAATACATAGTGATATGCTCCCATTTCCACTCAGGAATCTCCAAATTCTAAAGCAAACTATCGGGCCTCTAATTCTCACACTTTACATGTTGACAATTTAGACACCGAGACACATATGCAACTATATCTTTCTTCATTCTCCTCCACCAATAATGCTGCCGCAAGTCCTGATACATCTTGGTGGCGCCTGGATGAATAGAATATCGGGAACTGTGGGCCTCCTCAAGAATCAACTCACGAAGTCCATCCACATTAGGCACACAAACACGAACCTGCATCCTCAAAACTCCATCATCTCCAATAGTAACTGTCGCGCCCCCTTTTTCTTGCGGAGTCTGGGTTTCGACATTCTTTGGGACAACTCATTTCCTTTTGGGAATAAGGTACGGAATTTGAAGAGTCGCCACCTAACGGATTTAAGGTGCGTTAGGGCACCTAAAGCAAATAAATCATAAACCGGTTTGCATTACCAGAGATTGGGTAATGGCTCGAAATAACCTTGAGGGGAAGGTGTTAGGCACCCCTCGAGGTCCACAACGGTGGGTCCCGGCCAAACTTAATTTAAGTGAGTTAGTCATATAAGCAAACAAAGCAATTTAAACAAATAGAGATTATTCAAACGGGAATAAAGGGGGTCCTAGGTTTATTAGCCTATAGGATCACTTCTGTGCAATACTTGGTAATCGTCCCCAAGTTGGGGTGCTACACATAGCTTTAGTGCACAGGT